TAAAGTTTAAGTTTCATCTTTATTTTGACTGAAAGCAGACTAAGGGATGAACTTAGGGAAGGTGGGAGAAAGACAGACTCTATGCGTTTGACCGGGTCAACCAAGGACCAGGCATTGTTTTTAAGCTGAATGGTCCAGGGTTATGTTTATTTTGTTGTTTTCTGAAGGGCCGGACATTGTTTCTAAGCTGAATGACCTGGTTGCTATGTTTTTCTTCTAAGGGTTGGCCTGATGTGAAGGGTTTTCTTGTTTTCTTCTGAGGGAGGATTTTGGTCTAAGACTGAGCATTGTTTCGAAGCTGAATGACTTAGCCTGAAAACCGCGCACATAAGTACAACCTGAGTATAAAAGAAAGTATTTTACTTATATTTGCATGTGAACTGACAGTTGGGCATTGTTTCCAAGCCGAATGGTCCAACGCTAAGCCATATCACTAAGAAGAAAAGGGGAAATTACATAGTATAATTGAAAATAGTATGGGCAAGCTGAACATGGTTTCCAAGTCGAATGGTTCAGAAGTCAGAAAGTTGTTAAATCTTGGATATTAAACAATTCAGGGCGGCTTGTTTCCAAGCCGAATGGCTTAGTCAAATGCCCAAAGAAGAGAAAAGTAATAGCGCAACCTGTTCGTGTATATCCTAAGGCACGCTGGACATTGTTTCCAAGCCGAATGACCTAGCACTTGCGCAATATGTAAGTAAGGTATAAGGGATGAATTACCTGAAGGTTCATGAACTATTTTATATAAATGGACTTGGGATAGTGAGAGTACTTACCTTTGTGGTTTGACCTGCATGTGACTGGTTGCAACCACTTCTTAGTCTGAGTTTCAGTTTGATTGGTAGTTGCTTTAGTTGCTCGCCACGTGCTAGAATCATATGAGTTAGTTTCAATTCCTGCATTTTCTGGTCTATGTTTATTTTTACTTAGGTCGGTTTTTGCATTTTATGGGATCATTTATTACACTTGGTCTTGTAGAAATTTTGGTAAGCCATTTTTCATACGGGAAGCGTTGCTGAAATTTCTACAAAACCAAGGAGTTAGTCAGATTTTGTCTTTCAAAGGTTAACTTTTCTGACTTTTATAACTTAGTAAAAATCTGAAGAGTCTCATTCTTAAAGGGAGTGTTGCCCAAATTTTTGCTAAATTCAGGGAGTTAGACAACATTGAAACTTGAAAGGTCAAAATCATTTTAGACTCTTAACTTAGCTTTGTATAAATCTTGGAATAATATTTTTTCTACGGGAAGCGCTGCCGAAATTTCTACAAATCTAAGGAGTTAGTTAAATTTTGTCTTTGTTGAACTCATGTCTTGATCATGAGTTCATATCCGACTTAGTACGAATCTAGGAAGTCTACCTTTGTAAAGGAAGTGCTGCCCAAATTTTTAATAATTCAAGGGGTTACACAAATTTAGACTTTTCAAAGTTAGGGATTATTTTTACTTTTATATTTGTACTATTATAAATTCTGCGAAAGAATTTTCCCTACGGGACGTGCTGCCGAATTTTTTTTAGTATAAGAGGAGTTAGACTATATTTTGACAGGTGGCAATTCTGGTAGTCCACTCTATATAGAGGAGACTATGTTAGGGTCTACCTTTCTTCGGGCACTAGCTTAGAGGCTGACTCAGGCTTAGCCAGTATAATGACATTTGGTGAAATTATGATGTAGAGATTAGTTTCGATTTGGACTTGTAGATTTAGCTTGGGATTTGTCTGTCTTGTGTTACAGGTCCTTCTGGACGTTTGATTTGAGATCAGGACTAAATTCAGCTTTATACTACAAGGATCGCCGTCTCTTATCACTGATAACAGGTCGGTTGCCGATTCGTCGGTTTCTGACTCAACTCCCATTCATCCTCAATACTGAACCTAAAAGGCTTTAGCCCTGGTGATTTTATTGTTTTATTAATGTTTTACCCGAAATTTTATTGAATGGTCATTTAACAAAGGTACTAAGTATTTAATTATGGTTGGTTGGACAGAGGTTGGGGCTTGCATGGCTAAAGCGAGGGGTATGAGTATAGAGATTGATTGGAGTTGACTTTGTGTGGTGTGTGGATTTTGTTGACTCTTTGATGTGATTGCAGGTATGATCTGTAGTTCGGATTTTGGATTTGACTGCCTGCGATCACACCTAAATATATGGCTGTGAGGAGTCCCACTGTGATTGTGAGAAGTGATCATCACATACTTATTCCCCCTTACATACTTATATACGTATGTACCTAGTTGGATGTTCGTGTGACCTGTGAGGGCCCACGTCTAAGGATTAAACAGGGGTTGAGATTGAGAAAAGAAAGAAAACCCCATGTTATTATTGAATGCATCTTAAAAGATTTTTTAGTCGGACGTTGGTCCTGGGCCTGGATTTCATGTCCTTGTCCAAGACATCCCAGACCCTAGACTCTACATGGAAGGGATCTTCCCCCACGCAGAGCCTATTTGTCCTGCCTGCCGAGACACTCAGCCTAAAGGCTGGAGGTGCCGCAGCGGCTGCACGACAATTCCTTCAGTCGTGCAATATTGTGAAGGGACAAGCCTTCACGATACTTCGAGTCTGACACTTGAGTGGTGTAAGTGGTACTCGGATCCACGAGGGACTTCTTGATTATGGGCACTACATAGTATGCCATAATTGCGACTGCTTGCATACGCTTGCATTGCGAGCTCTGCGTCCGCGCGGTTTTATACTAAGTCTCTCGTGCGACGCCTAACTGACTTATCAGAAAGTTATAGGACGGCTACTGAGGGACTAGGAGCGTGGTCGCGTCGTTTGTTTTGTGTCGTTTCGTGTATGTATACGTGTGTGTGTATTTTTAATTTTTCTGTTATTTATAATGGTGTGCGCGTGGTGTGTGGGATGCGTCCTAGTCGACCGACGACGGGTCGCGCTTGGGACTTCAGTCTCCCAAGATGTCGGTTCGCGTGCGGGTTCAATAGAGGCGTATTACCTCGCATACCCCCTATGCTACAACGAACGAGAAACGTCCTCGGTTGGTCCACCTCTGCGATTGCAACTGATTAGCTTTCGTACTGTGGACTAGTAGCTCGGTGGGGATACGCCCACCGAAGGGAGGTGACAACTCCCGTAAGGTGGAGGTAAGTCGTGCCTCGAGTAGGCCTTATCCTGTCGGAGGGGTTCGCGAGAGGTATGGATGGCGCACTCGGCCGGAGCGGCTTGTGGAAGCTCCATTATATATTCGCGATGAGGATCTAAACCAACTCTTGCGTGACGCGGCCAGTAGGGTCCCACGCTGCCTTGTGTGATGCCGGACCAATGCGCTCGACAGGTGGCGCCGTTGCCGGGTATAACGGAAGCCTACCATTGTCCCTGGTGGAACGACATCCAGGTATTAGATTGAGAGAAAATTAGGCATATGTGGGAAATCTGGATGTATTCATGAAATGAAATGTATGATGGATTGCATTGTTATTAGTGTAAGCGATGATCACTTATGGTCTTGACCTGTGGATTGACTGAAGGATTGATTGGAAGGACTGTATGGTAAGTCTTGAGGAGGAAATAAACTTTGTCAATAGATAGGGTCAGAAGTGAAGGGGTTATGATAAGTTAAGTGACTGAATGAAGTACTCTCCCTTCTTATAACAGGGAAGCCAAGCAAGGACCGCTGGCCAAAATGCCCGAGGCGGTGGTAGGTGGTTCAGGAAAGGTCCTGACCCTCGATGATCTCATCGAAGCTTTGGACAGGCGAGAAAGAGCGTCGAGTAATGTTCCTAAGGTTGATACTTTCCACTTCAATGGAGAGCGGGTTTCTGACTAGTTGGATCTGGTCGAATAGGCGATGGTGGGGCTGTCAGACGAGGTGAAGTTTCAACAAATTCTGAAGTACGTGCTTCATGGGTATCATCAGGAAGTGGGAAAGGTTGTGGACGCCGCCAATGGTAGTTGGGCGAGGTTTAAAGATGGGATGCAAAGGAAGTACAGGCTGGGCAACGGCCTGTTAACCACTTCCGACCTGGAGGCCATGAACAGGGATGATTTCACAACGGTTGGAGCCTCTATGCAGGAATTTAAGAAAAAGGCGAGGAAAGTCCTTGGAATATCTGAGGAAGCGCAATGTGTCATTTTCCTCGGATTACTCACTGCCTCTGAGGCATCAGAGTTGACAGGCCATGGAGGGGGAAGTGCAAAGCTCACCTGGGCCACTATCGACAAGGGGGTCGAGGAAGGAAGTCTGGACCAGGTGGAACAACACCAGATGCGCCTACAAAGGCGAAAAAGGAAGGAAAGGGATGCGACCGCCTTCGTGACACCGGGAGTTAGGAGGATTGTCACCGACGTGCTTGCAGAGCTAGGCTATGGAAAAGAGGCGGTGATACAAAAGAAGGTAGTGACGGCGGTCTAGGGAAAAATGAAGGACCAGGTGCTAGATGAGGTCATTCATGAGGAATGGGAGAAGAGGAGTTGGTGCCCCAACACCTGTCGAAGGCGCTACTCAAGTAGCGCAACTTAACACAGGGGGGGCCAGGGTTCGGGAAAGGGGCAGATGCCCCAAGAAGTGGTAGTAGCATCGCCAAATGTGTCGGCTCAGTCAAGTAGTGCGGGACCCTCGCAAGCGACGGTACCACCATTCGGGCAAATGACCATGGCCTGTGTTAAACACTTTTGTGCCATGGGGCAGCCCGACCCCACCTGGGCAGATGATACCTTACGCAGGGCCCCAAACGAGTATGCCACCACCGAGTTACCCTGCGGCACAGGCCCAACCCATAGTACTACCTCCATCGCCCGCGCCGAGTTGACAAGGCAGTGTGGCAGGAGGGGGATACCAGGGTCAGGGTAACCCAGGAAATGGAGGGAGAGGTGGCAGAAGAGGGCGCGGTAGAAACGGCGGAGGCCGAGGAGGAGGGTGCTGGGATAACCAAGGCTACTAAGGCCAAGGGAATCAAGGAGGTCAGGGGTATGGAAGACCCCGTTTTGATTGGAGGACCGCCATATGCCAGCATTGTGATAAGAAAGGGTATACTATACGATTTTGCAATAAAAGGCGGGAGGATGAAAGGACCAGACTTATCTACTCAAATATGGATGGGGATATATACGATCAGTTCAGGGAGGATATTGATAGGAAGGTCCCAGGTGGAGTAAAAGCGGAAGCCCAAAGAAGGGTAGTTGCACGACAAGTGTCGCCTGCCACTTTCAGATTATGGCAGGAGAAGGATGACCCGTCGATAGGAGTAGAAGAAGAGGAAGGCGATGAGGAGGTGACTCAAAGACTACAAGCGGGGGTCATAAAGGAAGAGCCTATAGTCATAGAGTCAGACGATGAGAGTGAGGGTGAAAAGGTTGAGCCAGTGTCTATCCTTTTGGGAAAGATGGAAGATTTGTGGGATAAAATGGCGCGATACCGGCAAAAATTGACGGATATATGTGAAGAGGTAGAGAGCTGGAAAGTTGGTATCCCTAAGGTCTTCCTTTATGATTCAGGTACTGAATCTATGTCAGGAAGGCAAGGATACCCTGGGGTTACCACGGTGAGTTCAGGGCCTAGGTCTGGGATGACCCACAGGCCCCCTACTCCGTTGGCACGAGCCGCATTGGCCGCACGGACTAGGGGACAGGCAAAGGCAGGGCGAGCCAGGACCCGCCTCAGAGAGAGTCAGAGCCAGAACACAGAAAGGAGTCTGTGGAGGTAGAGGACGATGATGATGACGATGAAGAGGATGAGAGGCTCCGACAAGAGCAAGACCGAAAGGCCGAACAAAAGATAAGAAAGAGGGGTTCCCAGGAAGAAGCCGAACCAGTCTTGCGTGATAGTACGCAAAAAAAAAAAAAAAATGCGGTCCGATTTTAGGAAGGTTTTGATGTAGAAAGGGTGATCAACAGGTTGCTTTAGGGCCATAATGATCTTATGACCTTGAAGGAGATTCTAGCGTCCGCCCCAAGGCTTCGTAATGAGCTAAAGGGTAGGCTTTCGAGACGTCTAGTGTCAAGCATCCATCTTAGTGTGATTCTGCCTAAGGAAATGGAGTGGGCGGACCCGGGAACGAAGATGGACTGGAAGTGTGTGGCATGAAGTATGGTGGACTTAGTGGTAAAAGGTTACAAGTGCGCAGCGATGGTGGATACGGGGGCAAAGATAAATATTATTCGTGAAGTTGGCGCACTCAGATTTGGGCTGGAAATAGACTGCTCGGATTGCGGCATTTTGCACGGGGCAAACTGTAAGGCCGTGTTCTGCGAGACTGCCTCGAACGTACTCTTAGAAATCGGAAGAGTAAAGGCCATGACTTGCTTTTTCGTGATGTCAGATGTGGACCATGGCATTCTCCTGGGAGATCATTCTTATGCAGAACAAGGACCCTAATGTTCAACAAACATGGTGAGTCGCTAATCCTGATTTTATGTGATCCAGCGTGTGGAAATTACGAGATACTTATCTGCCGAAACACTCAGCCTGTCTGGAAATTACGAGGTAATTATCTTATGGCGAAGCCTGAAGGAGAAGTAAGGGAGGAAGCGTTCTCACTCAGCCTGTTTGATGTGAATAAGGCCATGGACATAGTGGTCACGCATGAAATGGCGGATCCAGACGCCATTCAGGCGCTGAAGGAACAAGTCATGGAGGGTCCCCAAGCACGGGAGATGGACTTGGTTTATCGGCTTCCAAAGGGGAGAAGGGACCTTGCTATAGCGCAGACATAGACGCAAACGGCTAGTCGACCTTTTCTAGGGGACTGCTCAAGCAGTGTTCTCAAAGGCGGTACAGGACGATAGATAAAAAGTGTCGCCCAGGTTCCCGTCCTCGTTACCGAAGATGAGGAGGTATACTTCGAGCGGGAAAGAGCCTTGATACGTTAGATGAAGGAGAACGCCTCAGTAGGGCCATGTCGTATCAACGAGGGGAACGAAGGGAAGCTGATAGTAGGAGAACCTTACTTCCTACTGCCCCGGGAAAGGGCGTTAATGATAAAGTTGATGAAGAAAAGGCATCGCGCCTATGCGTTTAGCGATGAGGAGCGTGACATGTTGGATGTAGACAGGATTCATATGATCCGCATCCATATCGTGCCACATGAGTCATGGAACTTAAGAGGGGCGCGATATCCTTATCCTGACGAATAGAAGAAGGTGGTAGATTACCTCGATGGCAAGATACGCACGCACATCGCCGATTATTCAAGCGGACCATACGCGTCCCCGTGGTTTTATTTCATCAAGCCTAATGGAACGTTGAGATGGGTGCAGGATTTGCAAAGGCTGAATGTTGTGACTGTGCGGGATGCTGGAGGCTTGCCGAATGCAGATGCGTTGTCAGAATCATGTGCTGGGAGACCAATAATCTCGCTCATTGACCTCTATTCCGGATATGACCAGTTTCCGGTTTATCCGTCGGACAGACCAGTAACAGCAATGAATACGCCTCGAGGGCTCATCCATATGAATGTGGCTCTACAAGGGTGGACGAACGTTGTGGCAATGGTTCATAGGCATATGATTCGAGCCATGCAAACAGTTAGTCCACATATTACGCAACCATATATTGATGACTTGGCAGTAAAGGGACCGGGAAAGAGAGAGGACGATGAAGTCTTGCCAGGAGTAAGGCGCTTTGTGTGGAAGCATGTTCAGAACCTTGATAAAGTCCTAAAGTTGCTTGAAGATCAAAACCTTACGGCTAGTGGAGCCAAATCCAGACATTGCATGAAGGAAGCTACCATATTGGGATTCGTCTGTAGTGAGAGTGGCCGCCGATCAGACGCTAAGAAGACGGACAAGATTATCGAATGGCCAGTACCATTCCATTCGATAACAAATGTCAGGAGCTTCCTCGGCATATGTGGATTTTGGAGGACCTTCGTCAAAAACTTTGCTGCCAAGACAGAGCAATTAAGGAAGTTGGTTCGTCAGGGTGAAGAATGGGTTTTGGGTGAAGATCAGGAGAAGGCGGTGGCAGGAATGAAGGAAGAGTTTCGGGAAGGAGGATTGGTATTAGGGGCACCGGACTATGACGCCATGGAGGTGAGGCCGTTCATTGTTGAGACAGATGTTGGACCAACTGCTTTGGGTGGAGTTATGATCTAGGCAGATATTGAAGGAAAGGAGAGACCACTGCGCTTTCAGAGCCGAACTCTGTGTACGACAGAGAGGAATTACTCGCAGTTCAAGAGGGAGACTCTCGCTGTCCTTCACTGCCTGCGGATTTTTCGAAACTAAATCTTTGGCAGAAGGCTCATATTGAGGGTAGACCTGACAGGTCTAGCCTTTTCTCTTAGGAATTACGTTCCGCCAGACCCAACGGTTGCCAAATGGCTAACATATATCTGGATGTTCTCTAAGCGAATCCGAGGGAGTAAGAATAGAGCAGATGGGCTGAGTCGCATCCACTAGGATAAGAAGGAAGGGGAGGCAATAAAAAATATGCCCCTAGTTGATGGCTATTTAGACCAGGAGGAAGACATCCGCCTTCACATTAATGAGTGGTCTCCGCCTATGTAGCACGGCGAACATGTTCGCGCCCCTTCATGTTCGCGCGAGCGTGTTCGCACGTTCGCGCCCTAGCTCGCGAACATGTTCGGGCGAACATAATTTTTTTTCGTAAATATATATATCGTCAAATAGAACTGCCCGGTATATATATTGGTTTTTTATTTTTAACTAATGATTGGCTACGAATTTGAATATGACTCTTGGGCAAAAGTTGCTTGTATTGTTATTTTACATAATATATATTTTTTTATGATTTTTCTGAGAACTTGTTTTTTTTTTTTTTAATATAATTTTAATATTTGGTTCGGAGGGTTTTGGGCGCTTGTTCGCATTCGGGCGAGCATGTTATCGTTCGCCTCCGAATGTGAACACGGTGCTACGTAGGTCTCCGTGAGGGCCTAGCTGCGTCGGTCACCCCATTTGGCATGCGCGAAAGGGGTATGAACAGAAGGCTGAACTGATACTCAAGCCTTTTAAAGAGGAGGACCCTTGGGGTAGCAAGGACGTTCAATGGATGATGAAGCTGGCACTCGCAGGCAATCATAGTCTGATGGAGGAGATAAGGACGATAGAGGAAGGTCCAGACCGGGTAAGGAGGCACGAGGAGTTGATGGGAGGAATGTACCTCCTTGTCAATACACTTTTGCAGGAACCCTAAATCCGGCGGAAGGGGAACGTGTTGTGCCAGAAAGTCAGGATGACGAGTTAGAAGAAGGGGAAATCAAAGAGGCTTTCCGCGAAGAGGAGTGTGATGGAATCTACCTGGAACTGGGGTTTCTGCTATCATGTGAGATAAAAATCAGGGATGCAAGCGAAAGGGTCCAGAGGATGAGGCACCTCTATCTGGTGAAAGATTGTCATTTCTTTGTAAAGAGGCACGTAGGGAACCCAAGAAGGGTCATACGTGGAAGGAATCGCAAGATAGACGTGATAGTTGCGCTCCACGATGGCATTGTAGGAGGACATCGAGGGGTAAATGCCACGTATACTAAGATAAGCGAGCTATACTATTGGGATGGAATGATGAAGATGGTATCCAAGTACTGTCAATCTTGCGTGCCCTGTAAGGCCAGGGGAGCCTTTGCATCCGAAATTGGAAAAGGAAGTAGGGGTCGTGGTACATCTCGCCATTCGTACAAAAACCGGTCCGGTCCTCGTGGGTTGCATTGAAGAGTACTACCTATGTTATCCCTTTGTCCGGGAATTCGTGATGGACAGGGGATCAAAGTTTACTTGCCAGGAGGTGCGAAAATTGTTGGAAGGGTATGGTGTGGTGGCTAACTGTACTACGGCTGCCTACCCACAAGCCAACGCTCCAGTTGAGCGAGGGCATAGCACCATTACGAGCCTGCTGGCTAAGTGGACTGAAGGTAGGCCTAGTCAGCGGCCAAGGTACCTGAGAGCGGCGTTCTTTGTCGAGAATGTCAAAGTTTAGAGGACCACTAAGTATGCGACAGCTACACTATGGTATGGAAGGCATGCTACGTTCCCAATTGAGAGCTTCCTGAAAACGTGGAGGCACCATGACCTAGAGACCAACCTGTCTTTTGAAGAGTTGCTTGACATTCGGGCACAACAGGTGGGGGCAATTGAAGAAAGGATTCAGGAGGCGTCAAGTCAAGTAGAAAGGAGTCGTATGGATGATAAGGCTCGTTGGGACCAAACAGCGCGCGTGCGAAAGACGCCTTTGAAGGTGGGGGACGTCGTATTACTGTACGAGTCATCTCTGGAAAAACAGTGGTCCAGAATGCTTGATAAAACGTGGTTGGAGCCCTATCGAATCGTATGATGCGAAGAGTTTGGCGCTTACCAGATTGAAGAGTTGGATGAGACAAAGTGGAAGGATTGGGTGTCCAGGACTCGGCTCAAGAAATTCGTAGCCAGAGAAGAGGTGAGATAAGAAGCTTAAAACCCCATCGCAGTATGTAGCTAATAGGAAGAGTGCGAAGGTTATCTAGATAGAATAGAAGAGTTAGGGATAAAGTTTGAATGTGTATGGATGGTTTGACTTGAACCTGCTGTATCCCACCTGTATGCTTACTCCGCCGTGTGCCCATCGTCTCCTTTCGCCTATTGTGCAGGTCTGACTTTGCGAAGACAGCCATGCCAAGAGGAGGGAGGGAGATGCGGCCATCGAGGAGACCATCAGGGGCATCAGGGGGACATGAGCGGCATGGATCTTACCAGAGGGAGCATACGCCAGAGTACGACGACGGGGACATAGAGCTCTTTTTGGGCGATTTTTGGAGTTATGCGAGTCGCAGAAGATGGACTGTAACCCGTATGATTAAGAGGTTGAGGGGAAGAGGACGCTTCGCAGAGCCCATTGCGTGGATCCGTGAGGAGGTGAGGACTTGGCAAGAGGTGGAACAGGCAATGAAGAGGCTGAGACCTTCGCCGGTAGGAGCAGACGGGAAGCCGATCCATCTCCAGATTGGGAATGTGGAGGAGTTTATCCTGGCCTTCGAGCAATTTATGCACAAGCAGGGTATCTTGAGGGACCAATGGATGCAAACGCTGCCACTGTGGACAAGAGGAGCAAAGAGACCATTGGCTCGAGAGATCCGAGATAGGGCTCGTGACTGGGAAGGTTGCAGGGCGCTATTGAGGGAGGCCTTTCGAAGGCCCGAGCCAGTGCAACCTCAACCCAGGGTCGAGAGGCAGCAAAGGAGTAAGAGACAAAGGGAACCTGACCCTAGGGAGGCCGCCCCTAGTCGAAGAGGACGAAAGTCGCTGGCACGGCGAGACGAGGAACCCAACCCACCTGCGGAGGAGCGAGGCATGTATCCGGAGTGTGGATTGGGCCCAGTGGCTTTTCAGCCTTTCACTGAATGAAGGCTACAGGAGCCCCCACAACAAGTGTAAGAAGAGGTTGCACCGGCAGGGGGTTCTCTACAGAGCCTTGAAGCGCACTTGGACGCCTCGCAGTGGGAGGTGCCTAAGTCCAGTGGAGGTCAGGAAGCCGGGCCCTATGCCCAGAAAGAACAACAAGTAGAGGAGGTGATCGAGATAGGAGAGGATACCCCCCCGCAACAGCCAGCCCCGACTCCGGAAATGGGGGCCGAGCCAATGGATATTCAAGAAGAGAGCGGAGAGGCTCAACGAGGAGAGACACCACCACTAGCTCCTGACATGATTCTGTCGTCCGAAGTGAGGGTAGAGACAGAGATGGAAGAGACAGATTGGAGGAGGGAGGCAGTCTCTACAGTGGACAGCTATCTGGCAGCACGCTGCAGAGCACCCTGATTTGGAGGAGGTTCCAGTAGGGGAGTCGTTGCAGGAACCTCATCCGCCACCAATGGAGGCACAACCTGAGGCCCCATCGGATGACATCCACCCTATAGCGGGGAGAGCACGTCCTAGGGAAACTGCTGAGGAGAAGAGGGTAAGGGTAGGTAAACGTTTGGAAGAGGTATGGCAGGAGAGGCAGAGGTTAGAGGCAGCAGGGGCACGTCCAGACTAACAGCCCAACGAACCGGCCAAAAGCCCAGGAATTCCATACATGTGGAGAGAGTTTTTTTAAGCAGAGGGCTGGAGGACTCACGTCGCCGACGAGAGGAGGTTTCAGGGTGGCCAGACAGGCTGAGGAGACTCTGGATTGCAGAATCCGGTTTCTGGCCAAGGTGAGCTTCGACAGGTACTTGATGTTGGAGGGCGACCTAGCAGGGAAGAAGATAAAGGAAGAAGGTCATGGGGTACGCCTGGAAGCATTGGAGGAAGAGATCCAAGACCTCAGGGCATTAGGAACCAGTCAGACCGCTATCATTCAGGACCTGTTGAAGGAAAGGAAGAAAGGGGCGGCACCCATGAAGGTAGTGGACCAGACGGAAGGGGCGCGATATGACTCTCAGGAATAGGTGACCCAGGGATCTGGGCAGCCATCTGAGGCTGGGCCCTCCCATGGGCCATCCCAGGGAAAAGGTCATCTTGGGACCAGAAGAGGCTAAGGCAAGAAGGGAGGCAGAGAAGGAAGCCTTCGTATTCAAGGCGCCGACGGAGTTCGCGACCTTACCAGTGGAACCTTAGGGGGCCCCGCCGACATCCTCGCCACTACTAGGCGAAGGGGGATCACATGAAGCCGCTAGTGAGCTTGCACAAGGATCAATGGAGGGACCCATGGGTGTGCTTCTAGAGGCACTTAATACCATGCATGAGGAAGCAAGCACACCTATGTTGGAGTTGGGTACAGAGCTTGTAGGCGAGGAGTTGCCAGTGGTGGTATCGGGAGAGATGCGGGAGAGCAGGCCTCAGAGATTGGATACGCCTGAGTACGTTACAAAAGTGGGTGATCTGAGGAGTAGGCTGGAATCTTGGGCTACCGGATCTGGTTCTGGGGAGAAAGATCCTGAGTCAGAGCAGCAGGAAGTCGCCAGCACTGTGATTGGAACCCCATCGTCGCCCCCACCACAGCCAAGAAAGAAGAAATTCAAAAGGAAGGTTGATCAATTATGCTTCTTTTGCAAGAACGAAGTACATTGGGGCCTTGAATGTCCTAAGTTCCTGAAGGACAAGGCGGAAGGGAATGTCTAAGAGAGTGCGGGGAAGATGTATGATAGACAGGACCGAGTGGTAGAGAGATCTGTTGATGGGGGTAGATCACAATTATATAGGCAAAACCAGGAGGAGATGAGTGAGTAGAGACTGGTGCGCCTAGGTATAGATACCCCTGAAGTATTGTCGATAGAGTTGGGTTTTCATATATCGGATTGGATACTTGTTTGTATGATTGTTTTATGTCTTAATACTGTCAGGAACTGAACACTTACGCTGTGGGTTGTACATATAGGGGATTACAGCGTACGATTTTCATTGAGTTAGAGTCAGGACTATGAGGGACAGTGTGTGTATGCTTTCAACTTTGATTTTCGGAGTCAGTATACATTCCGACTACATTTTTGATAATATGATTGACCATGTACCATATTGAGAGTGACTTGGGTAGATCCAAGTGAGTTATAAACCTGGACCATTATGTGTGTTTATTGGGTGAGATACCTCATCCTTAAGTGTGTCCTTGAGTTGAGTATTATTTGAGGCTACTTTTTGTATATGACGATCACAATCACTCTCACACATGTGGTTTTGTCCTGATGTATGATGATTGTGGGTGGGAGATGTGTGGGAAACATCTCACATACTGTATGTTTTGTGAAAGTGAATTAATGTGAATGGTCTACTCTTCGGTATACTCCTACGATCTGCCCATGAGCGGATAATAGAGCCTGGTATAAGGAGAGAAAGTGCAGTGTGTTTTTGTGAAAAGTGTGAGAACCCTAAGGGATTTATGAGTCCTTGAGACTCGGATGCTTACAATGCCGAATGTTTATTGTTGAGTTGTGATGAGGACCCATAAGTTGGTCTATCAGTTTGAGTTGTTTTATGGTTGAGACATCTTCAGATGAGGAAGATAGTCTTGTGCTTAATTGGAGACTCATCTTCAGCGTCGGAAGATGTGTTAATAAAAGGTCGCATGAAAGTTCATCCTAAAAAGAGAAGGGATGATTGGGAGGCCTATTGAGAGAGACCTCCTTCATATGGAAGGATATGGAAGGTGGTTAATAGATTTAATGGCATGGTGAGTGGATTGCTGAATGATAAAGTCTGACGAGAAGGACCACGTTTGTACCTGGCCATGGGTGAGATTTTCAAGAGGTCGCAAAATGGTTCATTTGGAAGATGTCACTGAGAGGTGGTTTTCTTGCTCTGATCAACTAGGGGAGTCACGGCCTTGTGAATCTGGAGGTGATTTTGTTTTGTGAATATGGAGAGGTTGCCGTGAGTCTCTGTGTGGTCCCACAGAGGACTGGTAAAAACGTTTTATGTGTGACATACCTTTGTGTATTTGTGAATATGGAGAGGTTGTCGTGTGTCTCTGTGTGGTCCCGCAGAGGACTGATAAATACCTTTTATGTGTGACATACCTTTGTGTAGTCCCGCAGTAGGCCTGTATTGTTGCGACACACCGTCCAACCACTTGTGTTAATTTTGTGGCATTTATGAGAATACCAAGCTAATGGTAAAGTTTAGCATCACTAGGGCGCAACCCCTAGTGTCGGCTGCTGATCGGCGTAACCTGAACAGCGTGTCTACTTCCTGCCAAGGGAGTAAAGACTTAAAGGGGTGTGGCCACCTTGGAGGGTTTTACTCCTGCGGAACGGCGTGAGATGAGAGTTGAGTCGAGTCATTTTTGAGTCCTCATTGGATGCTTATCGGGAGAAAGCCTATCGCGTTACAACCTGCGAGGGCACTATCGCTAAAATAACAACGTGGCGAGCCGTAGATCTGGCACGATCACCCAGACTATGGTGGGCCAAGATGGAGACCTGACCTTTCTGTACTAGACTGCAGGAAGAATCTATGATGAGATTTGTGTATATATATATATGTTTGATTGCAAGGATTGTTGGAAGAAGGCAATAGTGCCTTCAAAGGTCTCGGTTAGGGCCCGCGTCCCTGGTAATGACCCTGCGTGCAGGGTGGAAGTCGGGAACACTTAACGAAAAGCCGACCAACAGAAAAATTCCCACGAGAAATGAAAGCTGAAAAAACATTCCATAAAAAAACAATCCTTCATATTTATAAATTATCATTCCAATGTTCGTCAAATTCTAAAATTTTCAGTTTTATTTGATAAGTTCCCGTCTAAAAATGAGTTTTCCCTTTCAACTACATCTATTTGTTCAAGATGGAATGAAAGTCTGAACGAGTTTATTAAATATTTTAATTAAATTTTCATTCTACTACAACAAATATCTTCTAATTTAGATTGAATTAACCTATTTATGACCGAAAATCCTTACTTAGAATGACAGTTCAATTAAAATATTTCATGAACTCATCCAGACTTTCATTCCATCTCTAGCATGCGGTGCAAATAAGAAGGAATACCTTATTCTTGGAATGAAAGGTTGCAAGTAAGATGAAAATTTTTAAAATTGGAATGACATTTTTTAAGATGGATTGAAAATTTAAAATTTAGATTGTAATTTTACTATAAAATGATTATTTAATTCTAGAAATTTTTTTCGTTGACGTTTGTCTAGGACGAAGGGGAGGGGTCAGTTGAGAGGGGCCGCTAAGACTTATGTTGTAGTACATATGTATAGTACACCTGCGTCCAAATGTCAAGACAATGGAAACCCAGGTTGGAACCTTGGCGGCATATAGTTATAAGGGTTTGGATTGTTGGAGGCCTCAACCCTGAGTCTGTCCGCTAATCGAATTGGTTCCTGTCTCGTCAGCATTTGAAATTGTGAATGGATTTATAACTTCTTGATTTTGCGAAGCGACGAGGACGTCGCTTAAGGTCCGGTAAGCTGTCGGTGCGAATACCCTTACAAGGGTATCCGCCCTGGTTTTTGCAATGGACGAAAAATAAGTTGGTTGAAAGATTAAGTATTTCACATCAGGCGCGGCTGCGTCTGTAACTTGCGTTGTCTGGATAGTTGGCTAGAGCACAGGGTGTGTGGACGCTCAGGCTTTGAGGCTCGTGATTTTTAATTGTTGATGATTGAAGAGTCGGCCGGATCGCCGACCTGAATTTTATTTCTAATCAAGTTAAGAATAAAAATATTTTGTTTCTTTGACTAGTATGCCTGCCCATGGTTCGTGCGTACGTGTGGAGGGCGGTGTCGACAGCAGCGTGAATGTTGAAAGCGATTCGGTAGGTCTGCTCGTCGCGCAATGTCGTGTCATTTACGGGTTTATTCAAGCCTGACCCAGACTTGGGCCTAGCAGTATTGGTTATAGCATCGGACTTCATCAGAAAGATTCAAAGATCGAGGTCGGGAGACAGCGACACAGGGATATCATAGTAGCGCGAAGGGACCAAGGGGTTGGGGGCCCAACGGGGAGATCCTCCTTGGTTTTGCCATCGGCAGGGTCAGAACGGTACTAGCGGCCTCTTTTAACC